CCACGTTGAAATGACTAGCCAAATTATCAGTTCTATGCAGATAATGGAGACCTGACTGGTTTGTTTCCATGTTTGTTTGGGAAGGTCTGCTACAGATAAAAAATGGTCTACAGAACAGTTTAAGGCTGCCCAAAAAAACAACATTCTTTAAAGCCCTAATTGGTCATTAACTCCCACTAACTTGTTTCCTGAAGTTTTTCCTAGGTTTTTACCTTATTCTCTAGTCCCAGTGATACCATCCTAGTACAAACCCTTATCATCTCATGCCTAGGTGGGGATAGCTTTCCAGCTATTCTCCCTTTCTTCAGTCTCTTCCTTTTTTCTACCTGGGTGGCACACTCTTGCTGGGTTGATCCTCCAAAAAACACCATTTTTATTACATCCTTCCCGTGATGAATAGAGTGGTACAAAAATATTTATAGCTGTTCTTTTTGTGGTGGCCAAGAATTGGAAATTGAAGGGATGCCCATCAACTGGGGAATGGCTGAACAAGTTGGGTATATGAATGTAATAGAATACTATTGTGCTATAAGAAATGACAAGAAGGATGGTATTAGAAAAACCTGGAGTGAAATGAGCAGAACCAGGAGAACAGAGTACACAGTAACAGCAATATTGTACAATGATTAACTGTGAATGACAGCTATTCTCAGTGATACAATGATCTAAAATAATTCTGAAGGACTTATAATAAAAAAAACACCATCCATCTGCAGAGAAAGACCTGCTAGAATCTGAAGGCAAGATCGAAGCATGCTTTTTTCACCTTTTTTATTTTTCTTTTTTTTTGGGGGGGGTCTATATTTTCTTTTGCAGCATGGCTAATATGGAAATATTTTGCATGACTACACATGTATGATCTATATCAAATTGCTTGACTTCTTGAGGAGGGAGGGAAGGGATGCAGGGAGAAAATAGGGGACTCAAAAAAAATTTTTAATGAATGTTAAAATTTTCTATTTACATGTAATTGAGAAAAAATAAGAAGTAAATATAAACTTAAAAAAAATACAAAGTGGCTCCCATCAGATGAGAGCAATATCACAGCACAATGAAAAAAGGAATAAACATTTATTAAGCACCTACTATATGCCAGGGACTGTGCAAAATGCTTTACAAATATTATCTCATTTGATCCTGGACTTACAGAAAGATTCAGATCTCACCTCTGACATTTACTAGCTGTATAATCTTGGACGAATTGTTTAACCTCTCTGGGTTTCACTTTCTTCAGCTCTAAAATGAAGGGTTGAACTGGATGGTCTCTGAGGTCCCTTCCAAATCTCTGATCCTAAGAGATTAAATCCAAGTACCTTTTATGTCCAGGTTCGTCTCTCACTATCCCCCAATAGACTTCCTTTCCAACCAGGCTACTCAACTTCCTTTCCACACAGATGTAGATAGGCTACTTTCAGACTTCCACTAGCAGTAGCTGGATGGTAGAGTGGATGAAGCACTGGACCAGCAGTCAGGAAGACCTGGGTTTAAATCTGGCCTCAGACACTTATTAGTGTGACCCCAGGCAAGTCACTTTACCTTGGCCTGCCTCGGTTTCTCCATCTGCAAAATGGGAATAATAATAATAACAATAATAGCACTCGCCTCCCAGGGTCGTGAGGATCAAATGAGAAAATATATATAAAGTGCTTTGAAAACCTTAAATGCCAGCTATGTTTATTCCTATGTCCTCTCTCGTGGAATGCCTTTCTCCACCACTTCTCTGCTAATTCAAACAGTGCAACTCTGGCCAAGCTCAGCCAAATAGTCTTCTCTACTGTGAAGCCTTTCCTGACCAGCTCCTATAGTGATTTCCCCCCTCACTCTTAGCACTTTGCTCTACCGCCCTATCCTACTCTTAAAATAAGTTTTAGACTTGGAAGGGACCTCGGGGTTGCTAATCCAACACGTGCTTGGGCAGGAACCCCTTCCACCACATCCCTGTTGTGCTCATCTCACCTCTGCCATCATCTCCTTCAGGGATGGTTAATTCGTTCCCTTCCAAGGCAACCCATTCTGCCTTAAAACAACTCTTCCCATTACGGCGTCTGTCCTCAGGTTGAACAAGAATGTGCACTTCTGCCACTTCCGTTTGTTGCTATCAGTTCTGTACTCTAAGACTATGTAGAACAAAGCTTGATCCGTCTCGTACATCATTGCTTTTCTGCACCAAGACCTGAAACTAGATCTTCTTTCTGTAAGTCAAAGATCAGATGAGATAATATTTGTGAAGCATTTTGCACAGTCCCTAGCATATAGAAGTCCCCCTACCCCGGGCCTTCTTTTCTGTCAGATAAGCATCCCCAGTCCCTTTCACAGAACTTTGTATGGCTTCATTCACATTCCATGGCTATCCTGCCCTCCCTCCTGAACATGCTCTACCTTGTCAGTGTCTTAAAACATGGAACCCATTACTGAAGGCTGTACTACTCCATCTTTGGTCTAGCCAGAACAGAGTAAAAGAGAGTCGATTCGTTACATTTCATTTGATGCAGCCAGCGATCACCTTATTCTTTTGGTAAAACACTATTGATCCACTAAAATCCCCAAATCTTTCTCACATATCTCCTGTCCTGTTTTTTGTTCATTTATTATTATTTAAACAAAGTATTGTTTATTGTTGAAATTGTTGTTTAAACAAAATATAGGACAATACAGATTTCCTTATTAAGTATCTTATTAGCCTTACCACAGTGTTCTAACTTGTTGAGATCTTTCTGGATTTCAATTTTCTGGTCAAAAAGGCTAGCTATCCCTCTCAGCTTGATGACATCACAAATTCCATAATCTGTACTTTCATCCAAGCCACTGGTAAAAGTGCTGAACAGCCCAGGAACAAGACCAGTGCCCTAAATGCTCCATTGGACCCACCCACTCAGGTCAACACCAATTCGCTAATTGTCATTCTTTGGATTGACTTGTCAACCAGTTTTCAACCCGCCTGAGAATATCATCCAAACCGCTTATCGATGTCTTGTTCAGAAGGACATTGCAAGAGGCTTTGTCAAACGCCTTGCTGAAATTCGGGTGTTCTCTGTTTATATCACTCCCTTCATGTAATACTTTAATAATAACCTTGTGCAAGAAGATTAAGCTAGCCTCTCATGACATGTTCTTGATGATCTCATGCTGGCTCATAATGATCACAGCTTCCCCTTTCTAAGTGCTCACAAACCATGCCTTTAATCATGCAATCTATAATTTTGACAGCAATCAAGGTCAAGATTATGTAATTTTAAGACTCTGCTTTCTCCTTATTGAAAATTAGGGCATTTGACCAGCTCCATTTCTGGGGTACTTCTCCTATTCTCTTTCAATGATTACCGACAAGGGTTCAAAATTCCTGTGTTCAGGTCCTTGCAAAGCCATGAGATATGATTGGTCTTGACCTGTTGACTTGACTTGCTATTAAAAACTATCTTAAAAGATAACAATACTCTCCTGGTTACCTTCCTCCCCACCTTCCCAACTACAACTACTCTGTCTTCCTTCCTCACTCCTCATCTTCTTCCCTAAAATATTTTTCCTTGTCAATCTCATACAGTCCCATAATTTCACCTAACATCTCCATGCAAGTGATTCCCAAATTCTATCTCTTAACATTTACCACGAAAAAGGCATTGAAACCTTTGACCTTCCATTTCATTATCTGTAAAATGAAGATAATAATACCTGTAAGTACATACAAGACTGGGAGAATCAAGTGGGATAATAGATGCAAGATTTTGGTCAGTCTTAAAGTACAATGTTAAAAGTAGCTCTCGTTGTTGTTATCTCTGCCCTAAAACCCTGAATTCTCCTTTGAGCTCCAGATTTACATCTTCCATTTCTACCTAGTGCTCCCCAGCACCTCAAACTCAAGAGGTTTACAACCTAACTTACTTGTTTCCCCTCTAAATGTTCTCCCTCTTGATCTCACTTGTTCTCCCATAGTTGACATACTGCTGTCATGATGACTCTTCCCTGTCCCATACTTCTCATATTCAATCATTTACCAAATCCTATTGATTCTACATTCACAGCTACTCTCATCTCTCTTTTCTTCGCTATCCCCACTACTGCCATCCCAGCATAGGCTCTCATCATAATAAATTACAGTAATTTGTTGACAGTCTTCCAGCTTCTATACTGCCTCAATCCATCCTACCCTTCAAAACACTGGTAGGCTAATCTCTCTTATGCTAGACCTAATCATGTCACTCTTGCTCTTTCTCTTGCTCAGTAACCTTTAGTTGCTTTTTGCCCACTGAGAGAAGTCCAAATTCCTTTACACGGCATTCAAAGTCCACTACAGTCTGGGACCACTTTATCTTTCTAACCTCATTTTATATTTTATGTTTACGTGTATATATAATATTTATTTGTAATTTATTTATAATGTTTATATATTATATATTTTATATTTCCATGAAATCTATGCTTCAGCCAAACTCTACTTCCTCTTCCTTGTCCCTATATTTTCCTGCCTCAGTGCCTTTGCAAGTAATAGCCCCTATTTCTAGAGTATCCTCTCTCCCTCATTTTCACCTGCTAAATTCTGAACCCCCTGAATTAAAACCTAGTTCATAGCACTTTCTCTATGAAGCCTTTCCCACTCATCCCTTTCAGAAAACATTACTTCCCCCTTGTATTTCACATAGTATTTTACTGTGCACATCTCTAGTAGTACACCTATGTATTATTGGGTATTATATTTATATTTATTTGTGACTAATTCAGCTACTAGACTGTTAGCTCCATGAAGGTAGGGACCTTGCCTTTATAGCTCTCCCAATGTTTAGCATAATTATCTGCTCTCTATACATAGCCACCCATGTTCAAGAATAGCTTTTGCCAAGAGAATAAAATAAAATACAAACTGCCTGCGCTGGTCTTCAGGGCCTTCCACGATCTGATCTCAACCAGTGTTTATTGTTTTTTAATTATGAATTTTAAAAATATCAACAAACATGAACATTCCAACATAGAAAGCACAAACAAAGAGGGCTGTATGTGAAGCTATGAATGTCACATAAAACTGGACAGTTTTAAGTGTGTATTAAATTTAATATTATAGCACCAACATTCGCCAGCTTGTCTGTGTTGCCTTCTGTACTTTGTTCTCTCTTCTGTGTGTGTTCAAATATTTCACTGACGCTCTTTCCCCTACCTACTCTCCAATTTATCTTCCATTCTCCTCCCACGTGAATTCTCTGCTACATCCAGATTTGTCTAGTTGTCTCCTGGTCATTTTTTTTCCTTTTGAAAAAGAAAATTTTTTGAATATGAATAAATGGCCTATTCATTCTAAGTTATAATTGCATTACCTGTTATAACTAAGCTATGTAATACTAGGAAACCTTTCCATTAAAGCTTCATTCAGGCTTGAGACAAAAAGAAAAAAGCATAGGAAGGACTCTAGCTCAAAATTTGTACATGATGATGATGCAGCAAAACTCATGTCTTAGTAAAAAATTTGATACTTTACCCTATTGATTTTACAAAATAGTACATATGTGAACTGTATTAAAAATTACAAAAACAGTCCAAAATAGTCAAAAAATCTTGATAAGGAAGTAGGTTTCTTATAAATACGTAACTTCTCTCATCATCTCTCAACATAGAATTAAAGAATTTAAAACAATCACCTATTGAATTGAATGCAATAAACATTTATTAAGTGCTTACTGTATACCAGACACTGTACCAAGGGCTGAGGATACAGTTAATAAAAAGAGAGAGTGTTCCTGCCCTCAAGGAACTTACAGTCTAATGGAGGAGAAAACAAACGAAAGGAGGGAGGAAAGCAGTGGGGAATAGGGAGGATAGAGGGGGAGCACTGGAAGGAGCCTGAAAAGTCTAGTTTCTGCCTTCTATAAAGGAAGGCACTGGGAGGACTTTGGTACTCCACCTTCCAGTCTTCCAATCAGAGGGGAGAGGAGGCTGAGGGAGGTGGCCTCAGTCAACTCTCGATTTAGCAACATGGTAATGAGATTAGGGAGCAGCCAGGTGGCACACTGGATTAGAGTGAAGGACCTGGAGTCAGGAAGACCCGAGTTCAAATCCAGCCTCAGACACTTACTAGCTTTGTGACACTGGGCAAGTCATTTAACCCTGTTTGCCTTAATTTCCTCATCTGTCAAATGAGTTGGGGAAGCAAATGGCAAATCACTCCAGTATCTCCTCCAAGAAAACCCCAAGTGGGGTCATGAAGACTCAAACATGCCCGAACAACAACAGGCTAAGAGCAATCGTGACACGCTTGAACAAGATTAAGTAGTACACTACAAGAAATAGAAGACACTATCTTTTTAGGAGGCAGCGAGGTGGTTCAATGGATAAAGCACTGGGCTTGCAATCAAGAAGACCAGAGTTCAAATTCAGCCTCAAACACCTACTAGCTGGGTGACCCTAGGCAAGTCACTTAACCTCTGTTTGCCTTAATCCACAGGAGAAGCAAATGACCAACCACCGCAGTATCTTTGTCAACGGGGTCACGAAGAGTCTAACAGGACCAAATAACAACAATGAAATTAGAGGCAATGAGCTTAACTTGGGGGTGGGGGGAAGCGGGCAGCATCTTGTCGCATGGAGCTGAAATCAGACAGTATCAGATGGGACAAATGAACAAATATAAATATTTGTTAATTAAATATAAATATTATAATAATCTGTCATCTATTCTGTGCAAGAAACTGCGGTACAAAGGAAGATGTAAAAATATGATTTATACTCCCAGATTTTATGGAATTATTGATGAAGGCACTCATGATTTGGTAGGAAGGATTAAGTATAAATAAATGAAAAGTTAAATAATGTTAAATAAGACAACATGCAAGAAATTTCACAACCTAATATGTGATTACTTGGCAAATGAGTGCTACAGGTCCCTAAGTACCACGAGGTCCAAGGAGGGAGAAATTACATGGATCTCTCCCTTGTCTAGTCTGGCAATCTTCTCTGCCTAGTCCAGCCCACAGAGATCTCTCTTCTTCTGAAATCATGGTATTTTCTGTTGATACTGCTCATTTTGCACTCCATCGTGGACCACCTTGTGACATTCCTTGTGCACGTCTTCTGTCCCAAGTACATCTTAATGTTCTTGATGGTAAAGACCACGTGTTATGTTTATTTATAACATGAACTGGACTCATCACCATGCTATGCATATTTTGTTGTTGTTTTCAGTCATGTCTGACTCTTCTTGACCCCACTTGGGGTTTTCTTGGCAAAGATATTGGAGTGGTTTGCGATTTCCTTCTCCAGCTAACTTTATAGATAAGGAAACTGAGGCAAATAGGGTGAAGTGACTTGCCCAGGGTTACACAGGTAATAAGGGTCTGGTTTTGAACTTAGGTTTTCCTGACTCCAGGCCTGTGACTCTGTCCACTGAGCCACCTAGTAGCCATAGTAAGCATGAAGTAAATAACTAATGATGGGATACTGTTCACTGGGTGATTTCAATATTAATAGTTTATATAAATGTAAATCCAACAGCTGGAGTTTCAAAACCAGATCTTAAGAATCACTGAAGCCAAAGAGTAGAATATTCTGTCAAGATCCAGAAAAATAGGAGTAACTAGGCGCCACAGTGCATAGAGCGCTAGGCCTGGAGTCGGGAAGAGCTGAGTTCAAATCTGACCTCAGACGCTTACTAGCTGTATGACCCTGGGCAAGTCCCTTAACTCCAGTTGCCTCCCCCCCAAAAAAAGATCCAGAAAAATAGAAGAAGAGGAGGATTGCTGGTATTGGAAGAGAATTTGTTAATTTAAAATTTTTTGGATGAACAGTAAAGGAGGAACAAAACTACTGAGACAGAGAGGGGTTGAATGAAAGAAGAATAAAAAAGAAAAGCTGATTTCCGTGAAGGTATGCATAGGGGTCTGATAGAAGAAAGGATTGAAAAGTACTGTTTAAAAAAAAAAGGGAAGGTTCAAAATATAAAGGAAAAATGCCATATACCAAAAGAACTATAGAAAAGAGATCTGGTAAGGGAGGCCGTGTAGTTCAGTGGAAAGAGCACTGGATTTGAGAGTCAGAGTACCTGGGTTCAAATCTCATCTCTTTTCCTTACTCTGTGTGACCTTAGATAAGTCTCACTCTCTCTGGGCATCGATTTCTGTTTCTTTAAAATGCAGAGGTTGAAACAGTTTACCTCTAAGGTGCCTTCAGCTCCCAGTCTGCAATGCTATGATCTTCTCTTAGGGTGAATGGATAAATTCAGCTTTCCCAATAATGAGTAAGATGAGAATTAGATAATAACAGTCAAATCACTTCCCCCAAAGATCTGAGTGCATGTTTTCACTAGAAATAATTATCCAAGTCTCACATTCAAATATACAATTTCAGTACAATTTCACGTCCAGATAGTTTAGGAATGGGAAATAATCCAGATTTTTTTAAAAAACTGAGTACTTAGGAAAAGAACTTTGTTAATGGATTCTGATAACAGACTCCTCACCTCTTTCCCAGTACTGGCTCCCATCTTCAAAAACAGATAAATCAAAGATCTAAATAAATGAAGTTGTACTTGCCTTCCTGACACATTCCGTCAATATTTCAGGCAGGCAGGCAGGCAGTCAATAAGCATTTAGTAGTGCCTACCCTATGTCAGGAACTGTGCTAAGCACTGAAGATATGAACAAATTATTTGAATCTATATTAATACATTTTATTATATTGGATATTATATAACATATAATATATTTATATTTATTGATATGTTTATTATTTGAATCATATAATATATATGGAATGATTGTCCCACTATAAAATTCACTTTCCCCCTCATGATACTCTACCTTTTTAATGTAATTACAACTCATTGACTTTCAATCCTACCCTTTTTGATGAAGTTGAATACACCCTACCTTGTTTTCATAGATATCACTAGTGGTTTGAATTATTGTGTCTAAGTTAGGCTTATAGCTAGGAGAACAAGCAAGCCCTTTTTAGTTCTCTGCTAAAGAATGACTGAAAACAGCCACACATCTGTGTCCCCGCTGGGCCTACACCATGGTGATGGATGAACGGGTCTCCTAGAGCTTTTCTGTGCTTTATGCTTCCCAGACCTATTGGATGTAACCAGTGAAATCTACCCAAGTAAGAAATAGCACCCCCTTCTTCTTTCCTCTTGGTACCTCTAGTACTATTCTTTCTCTAAACTTGCCTATTAATTGTTATTGTTATTGTTCAGCCATTCAGTTGTGTCCAACTCTTCATGACCCCATGAACCATAGCCTGCCAATACTGACCATGGAGTTTTCTTGGTAAGGATACCAGCGTGGTTTGCCATTTCTTTCTCCAATATAAATCCTTACTCACAGTATTGAAAGAGAACAAGTGAGCAAGGAGTTAGATGGCTATGAGAATATAATCGCATTTTCATCAGATCAAAATGAAGCAAGGCAATGAAATTTATTCTGTTGTTCCCTCGCTGTTTTTAGATACATTTTTACCATCATAACCTATGACACCAGGAAAAAGACTGAGGTTGATGCATACTTAACACTTTTAAACTGACATTATCTAGCTTTTAGAGGTCAAACAGGAAAAGAAATGGAAAACAAAGGAGGGAGATATACAGCAGTGATTTATTGTGTATCCTGTTTAATTCCTAATGTGTCAAAGTGATACAAGGAGTAACCAAGACCAGGAAAAATTATATGGCCTGTTAGATGTCCTGGAGGTACAGGAGAAACCGTTGTATCAAGCTCTACAGATGCTGTCATAGGTTCTAATCTGGTAGTTTTGTGACCTACTATATCCTAGAGTTGGGTTTTAATTCTGCCAACTGGGTATTTTATTCACCCTTCTTTCTAGACCAAAGAAGTAACTAACTGAACATGGAGAGTGGGGAAAAAATCCATAAGCATTCTCTAGGCTAGCAGAGGGGAATACTAATCTGTGTTAAGAGACTGGAGGATAGAGGAATTTGGCACAGAGCAGAAAGGGAAGAAGAAGGACCAGTGAATATGTGGAATGAATTAATAGAGATGTGGCTCTTCCCAAAAAAGAAGCAACCGTTTTGTTGTCCAAGGAAGAGTAATGTGTATCCACAGGTGCCTTCAGATAGAAAATCATTCAGTAAGGGTCAAAGAAAAAAAAAAAAAGACAAGCAGATATGTTGACCTCCCAGTACCACAGAGTCCTTCTGTCTCTCCAGGAGATGTATCATGGATAGGATGAGAACCTCCCAAGACCCGCCAAACCTGATAACTCCTACTGATTCCTGTGAGCATATGCAATGCTGCAGAAAG